AACGGGCGCATATAAACTACGTTGGCATTAAAACCGAGGAGATAAAAGCGTTAAACCAGAAATGAAACCATGGTAAAATCACCATAATTGTTAAGAGCCCCAGAATCGCCATGGGGCAGGTGCCCAAGGCCCCCTCGCCTCTGTGGGGGGGTGTATGTGTGTATGAGAGAAAGAGGGGGGGGGGTCTCTTCCCCCACTGTCATATGGGGGGAGGGGTCGGCCCAACCCCCCTATCCCATCTGGGGGCCCCAACCATGGAAGGTGGAGGAATGGGGAAGAGCCCCTCCTGCAGCCCCTTCAGCTTATGGGGCGCCCCTGGCAAGGCAGGTGGGGCACAGGTGGGGCTGACATGCGCAGACCAGGCTCAGCCCCCCCTTGAAGGGACGGGGAGAGGGGTCTTCACACCCACCCACCCCAGAAGAAGGGAGGGGGCGCCCCAGGACGTAGCACGGGAGTAGCATCTCCGCCCATCCCGCAGGCAGGCCGGGACCCCCCGGGGTCGCAGGAGGCCACCCGCCCGGTGCATCCCCCCCCCAGGAAAGGCTGCGGGGGGCTCGGGGTCAAAGGTGAAAGGAGCCTCGGTCGGGAGGACGAAGACGGGCGGCTCCGGGAGCGGGGCCGAGGGAGGGACGGGGACCGAGCGCCGCCCACCTCCTCCTCCTCCGTGTCCCCCGGGCCGAGGTGTCCCTGCGGGCGCCGCCGCGTCTCCTCCGGTTCGGAGCCCACCGCGGACGCCATCGCCGCACCTGCTGCACCACTTCCGGGTCGCGGGAGGACGCTTCCGGTCCCCGCTAAACCTTTGGGCGACTCCCAGGGATTCCTGCAGCGACGTTACCGGCCGCGGCAGGAGTCACTGAGACTTCCTTCCGGCTGGAAAAAGAAATAAAAAGGGCGCTTCTAAGTGTTCAGCGGGTCGGAACTTTTGTTTCTCTGTTCTAGTTTCCCCTCCGAACACAATAGGGAGGACACACGTCATCCCTCGCTCTCCCAGAGGTGTACTGACTGCATGATACGCAGGGCGCCTCTCTACATTTTATCGCTCTATGATGTAGGTCTTAGTGTAAGGCCGCTGCGGCGAGAGACGCTCATCCGTGTCTGACTCTATGATCGCCACACCGGAAGTGTGGGTAGTTTCACTTCGGCTTCGGAGGCGGGACTATCGTCGGGGCCTCTCGCGCTGCGCCGCTTCCTTTTCCGGCCGAGTGGAGAGCGAGAGGAGCCGGGTCGCAGCCATGGTGAGCGATGGGGAGGCCAATAATCCACCGCCATCCGCCGCGGGGGCCGCGCTCGGAGGTTCCGTTGTGGGGCCGGGGGTGCCGGGGGTCTTCTGCGGGGGGCCCGGAGCTGAAATGGGTCGCTCCCCGTGCGAGGCAGAGCTTCACCCTCTCCAGGTTGAATTGAGCTTGAGCGTCTGCCTGTGTCGCCGCCCCCCCCCCCCCGTGACATTCTGGGGCTCTACATTATGACGATTATATCATGGTTTCATCCTAGTTTAATGCTTTCTCTCGTTTGTTGTATTGCCAACGTAGTTTATAGGCGCGCATTGTTTAAACCTGCAATTGGGTTTGGACGTATGCCTATGTTCCCCGACTTACGACCACAATTGAGCCCAACCTTTTATGTTGTTGAGTGAGGCATTAATTCAGTTCTGCCCCATTCTGCGACCTTGTTTTGTCACCGTTGTAAAGTGAATCACTGCAGTTTTAGTAACACGGGCGGTAAGTGAATCTGGCTTCCCCCTCGACTTTGCTGGTCAGAAGGTCGCAAAAGGGGGGGGGGATTGAGACGCTCCAGCCGTCGTAAATATGAGCCATTTGCAAATCACCTGAAATTGTGCAAAACAGCCGTAAGCCCCTTGCTTATAACTTTGAACGGTCACTAATTGAACTGTTGTAAGTTGAGAACTATCTGTAATGCAGGTTGTTAGCCTTGTGTATCAGTGTTTGCGTGGCCTCGGTGGGTGCCAAATACGGAACCTGGTCCTGGCGCTTCTCCAGCCTTGGCCTCTGGCGCTGAGGAGCAGCAGCAGAGCTCAGTGGGGCTTTCTTGGTCCTGGGGGGTGGGGTGGGGGCCCCCCGCAATGGAGGCAGCACAGGGGTCTCATGCCAGTGTCTCCCCCCCCCCCCGCTTTCTCCCCACAAGTCTCTCGTGATCCCAGAGAAGTTCCAGCACATCCTGCGTGTCCTGAACACCAACATCGATGGGCGGCGCAAGATCGCCTTCGCCATCACCGCCATCAAGGTGGGTGAGGAGCCGCCGGGCAGAGCTGTGGGGCTGCTGTGTGACGGCCAGGGGGCGATGGGGTGTGTGTGTGTGGGGGGGGGGTGGCCCCTTTCCTTCCTGGAGCTGGGCGAGAGGACGGAGAAGTGGTGAGGCCTTTGCTGGGCCGTCCGAGCCTTGGGTGGTGCCAGGGGGCCCGGTCAGAGTCCGGCGTCTTCCCTGCGGCTCTTTCCAATGTCTCTGTGGAGCCCCTAACAACACGTACCGGAAGTCCTCGGGTTGCAACTACAATAGAGCCCCAAATTTCGGTGGCTAAATGAAACATTTGCTACGTGGGTTTTGCCCCATTTTACGACTTTTATTGCCACTGTTGAGTGGAATCCTGGCATTCGTTAACTTAGTAACACGGTTGTTAAGCGGATCTGGCTTCCCCCTTGACTTTGCTCGTCAGGAGGTCTCAACCCCGGGACACTTTGTCGTAAATACGAGTCAGTTGCCAAGTGTCTGAGTTTTGATCACATGACCATGGGGATGGCACAGTGGTCGTAAGTGTGGAAAACGCTCCTAAGTCACCTGTTTCAGTGCTGTTGTAACTTCAGAGTGGCCACTAAGTAAAGGGCTGTAAGTTGAGGACTACCTGAGGAGGTGCAGGGTCCCCACGGATTTCCCTTCGGGAGGTTCAATGCCGGAGAAAAGACAATTGATTGCATAAGCGTAGAAATCGGATAGCATTAATAATAACTGATTGATGCTTCCCCTGAGACCGGTTCTGCTCCGGCCAGGCCGGCCTCCTCCTCCCCAAGAGCTGAGTGAGGGTCTTGGATGTGGTCACCCCCTTCGTGGGTCTTTATTGAGGGGCTGCTCCAGTTCCACCCGCCCAAGCGAAGACCCTTGGAGTCTGGAAATTTGAGCTGTGCAACGCAGATCGGTTAAAAATCACGTTTATCGTTATTGGTGCATTGGCTCAACTTCCGCTGGGGCTCTGCTGTGTTGGCTTCCAATGAGGGGAGGAGGGCAGAAAAGCTGCAGTGGAAGCCCCCCCCACTTTGTTCTGCTAAGATACGAAAACGTGACCCTCCCTCCTGCACCTTGAATTTGAGAGACAACACCCCCCCCCACTCGCTAAGTTGTGTGGATTCATAAAGCCAGGTGCCTTGTGAATGCTGATGGCGGAGTGTATCGTGATGGTCCTGGGGGTGCAAGCGACTGGAGCAGCCCATCCCAGGGAGGGTGTGTGTGTGTGTGTGTTCTGCCTGGCTTCCCTGGGGGTCCCCCTCTGAGCGTCTCCCGCTTTCCTCCGCAGGGGGTGGGCAGGCGCTACGCTCACGTGGTGTTGCGGAAAGCAGACATCGACCTGACCAAGCGGGCTGGGGAGCTCACGGAGGATGAGGTGAGAAGAGCTGGGGAGCAGCTCTGGGGGTCTGGATTTCGGGCCGGGTGAAGGGGGTGGGGTGGGGGACTCCCTGGAGTGCCTTTTTGGGGGGAGCAGGGGAGCCCAGGAACCCCGATGGTCCCTCTGGAGGCAGAATAGCTATCCTGAATGCAGGGATTGGATGACCTCTTGGGTCCCTCTGTGATTCTACCCCCAGCGCTTTCTTAGGCACCCCACAAGGGGAGGGGCCTGGAGCCTCGAAACAAGGCCTTGTCTCTTACTTCCAAGGCAGAAATCGTTCCGGTCTCCGGCCCAGGACTCGGGGGCCAGCTGGGGCAGGGGGATGTGTCCATGGGGTGGGGTTGAAATGGCGTCCAGCTGATCACCTGGTGGGCAAAGTTCCCTCTAAGGTGCGCGGCCGCGCATGTGGCAAGAAAACACTGCGCAGCAGTTTCCAACTGCCAGGATTTCTAATGTCACAGGCTCCAGAAGCTGAGGGGCCTCAGCTTTTCTCTCCTGGTTAGGGTTAGCATGGGTGCAGGGGGGGGGGATGGCAGCAGGAGCTTACGCAGCATGGCTGGTCTCCTAGGACCTCCTAGGCGCTGGCTGCACCGCTCAAACTACGGTCAGTCGCCCCGTGTTCAGCAAAGCAAGCCTGGAGGTCTTTGTGGGCAGCCAATCCTAGCCGCTTGTGCCCGGCGCTGTGGCTGAAGTGAAGCCCCAAAGCCTCTGCCGCCACCGGAATAACTGCTGCCGCCTCCTTCAATAGCACTACCGGATTTGCCACCCGGCGCTGCGGCTGAGGTAAAGCCGCCAAAGCCCATGGCAGCAGCACTTCCCCCTCCGCTCGGAGCACCTGAGCTGGGCCCTGCGTTACCCCTGCCCCCTCCTCCGCCGTGCTTTTGAGGAGCCACGAGGCCTTTTATTTCCTGTGGGGCGGGAGCTGGATGGCAGGTGCGGACCGACCGCGGGAGGGGAAAAGGGTGCCAGAGCGCTGTCAAAGGTGAGGTGGTGAGGAGGAACCTGACGGCGGCCCCATCGCGGGAGCAGGAAAAAGAGGCCTCATGGCTTGTCAAAAGCACAGTGGAGGAGGAGGAGGAGGCGGCGGCAGGGATAACGCGGTGCCCAGCTCAGGTGCTCCAAACAGAGGGGGAGGCACCGCCGCCACTGCCACGGGTGGGGGCACCAGTGGGAGCTTTGGCGGCTTCACCTCAGCTGCAGCGCCAGTTGGCAAATGCGGTTGTGTTATTGGAGGAGGAGGCGGCAGCTTGTCGGCATCTTCAGCGGCGGCCCTGCCCCCAGTGAAAAAAACCGAAGATGGAGCAGATCCAGGCTGATGACGTCGCCGCAGCTGCCAGGTCCGGAGGGAGGTAGCCAGAGCGGCGCCGAGGAGAAAGAGCAACATGACTGGGGGAGGAATTCTGGGAGTTGAAGTCCACAAGGCTTAAAGCTGTCAGGTTTGAAGACCCCTGGGGTTTTTTTCCCCCTAAAGGGTTAGGGGTGCGAGGGTCTTGTAACCTGACAGCTTTAAGACTTGCGTGCTTCAAATGCCAGAGTTNAACGCGGTTTTGTGGTGGAACCGATTTAATAGCTGCCAGCTGATGTAAGATTGTAAGATGTAATTTGTAAGCTGAAGGCTAGGCTGATGAAACAAGGTTGATTCACTGCAGCTATGGTATAGCCCTTTTAAGACTCTGATGGGAAGTCCACATGTCTATATATAGGTGGCTATCAGAGGGTGTTTTTTCTTCTTCTCAGTGTGTATTCAGTTCTCTCCTTGTGTCTGTAGTGAATGGTAAGGGACTTTATTTTCTGCATGTGTTTGCCTGCATGTATTTGTAAATAAACCACTTAATTGTCTTAAAGCTCTGTGTGCTGTGTTATAGCTCCTGGGTGTATCACGAAATATTAGTCATGCTGCCAAAAAGCTGACAGGGTTCTCCTAGACTCACAACTCCTGCTTGAAGCCATGGCTGAAAAAAATCTTTGTGCAACTTCTCATGGTGCCTTTTCGTGGCTCATGAGGCCAATGCAGTCACTCGTGGCCTCATCATCTCTTTGTTGGCCTATTGGAACATGCTCTACATGGGGCTACCCTTGAAGAGTATTTGGAAGTGATAACTGTTGTAGAATGCAGCAGTGTAGACAGTTCATGGTGGCCCATATAACACCACCATTGTATGAGCTGCACTGATTGCCAGTTTGATTCCAGGTTCAATTCAAGGTGTTGGTTATTTTTCTATAAAGCCCTTTATGGTATGGGTTCAAGGTATCGAAGGAGACAACTCACCCCAATGGGATTTCCCTATCCCACTCAATCCAGCAGAAGAAGCCCACTTCAGATCTCATCTACCAAAGAATTTCAGCTGACAAGTTTCAGAGGAAGAGCTTTTCCTACTGTGGTCCCTGACCTATCAAATATTTTCCCCCTGGAGGTGAGGTCAGTCTCCTGATCTCTTAAGAAAAAATGTGGCTTTGTTGGTTGGCCTGGGGCAGAGGTATCAAACTGGATTTCTTGGCGGGCCAGATCTAGTGGTAGGGTTGAGCGAGTTCACACCACGTCGGGAGAACTGCTTGTTATGTTTCTGAGCAGTTTGGTGAACTAATTGTTGGAAGAAATCATTAGAGCAGAGAACCGGTTTTTAAATTATTTGAATCCCACCACTGGATAGATCAGCACTGTAGTTGTCCTCCACAGCCTGGCTGGAGTGGGGAGAGATAGGATGGACACCATCCTGCAGCTCTATGCTGGGCAAAGCTGTAGAGAAACTAAGACCATGTGCAATAATCGACAAGTTACTTCTAAAAAATGAGTAATCCTTTGCCTGTGTCAATACAACCACAATAAACCCAAACCTTTTCCATCTGAAGAAGATAGTAATCAATGAAATCTTGCGGTTCATGCAGAGAATGAGATTCCTTGTGTTTCTCTATTTCCTGCTTTGCAAATGCAAGGATAATATCCACAGAAGCCAGGGCTTTCTTGTGAGGGCCTGGGAGGGACTTCATTAATTGTGGGAACAAATCATACATCTAACAGAAAAAGAAGAGGAAAGGTTATTGATTTCCCACCATAAGTAAAGCAGGGAAGGGTCAAACACATCGTAAGTCTTGAATCACTGCATGCCCACAAGAGAATGCCTTGAATGCCTTTCTTAACTCCTACAAATTTCCCAAGACCGTTAGTAGCTCAGATTCTTGTAGAGGGCTTAAGCTTGCAATAAAACTTTACACTCATTTGAACTGCCAGAATGTCCTGACTTCCTTGACACTTGACAGCAGGGTAGCAATGACTTATGGGCTCAAGCTGTTGGAAGCTTGAGAGGGACAGTCCAAGCTATTAGACTGAAATAGTTAAATTATAGATTCATGAGAAAAAAGGACTCTGTGTGTGTGTACCAGTACCATAAGTTCTCTTTCTTTCTTTCTTTCTTTCTTTCTTTCTTTCTTTCTTCCTTTCTCTCTCTTTTCCTTTCTATCTGTCTCTCTCTCTTTTTTTCTCTCACTCTCCCTCCATTCCTTCCTTTCTTTCTTGGGTATATCCCTCCCACTTTCTTTCTCACTTCTCTCTTTCCTTCCTTCCTTCCTTCCTTCCTTCCTTCTTTCTTTCTTTCTTTCTTTCTTTCTTTCCTTTTCTTTCTCTCTTTCTCTGTTTCTTTCTCTCTCTCACTCACTCACTCACTCACTCTAAGGTTTGATGAAAGCAGTCACGTTTAGGTTGAATTAAGTCTTTCTCCAAAACTTAAACCAGGATTCCAACAAAAACTCTAGGTCAGCATCAAACTCAGGTTTTGACTTTTATCCAGAGCCCACCCCACCAGCTTCAAAAGTTCAGGACAGACCAGGT